TCAAACCTGTGAGTTATCTTTATGCTTCTTTGTCTAACGTGCATGACTATTCCACCCTGATTTAGATGTGTAACAAAATTTTAATACATAGTGGATTTGCCAGTAATCATCGTTGATCGGGATTGATTTAAAAACTTAATAAACATGATCAAATCCATTGATATTCTATCTGCTCCTTGGAAGTTTACATTGACTTCTACTGTGATTTGGGTGTGTGACAAAAGTTTTACGCATGGTAGATTTGCCCATAGTAACTGCAGACGCAAGTTGTGTATTTTTTTTTTTTTTTGGGGGTGTGTTCTCAAGTAGTGCTACGTGTGTGTGGTGAATTGCTCCTTCTGTGTTTTGCGCGCAATTTTTTAAAGGCCTTGTGTTTTGGACTCAAATGCTTAGTGTCTTTTCATTATGGAAGTATTTGCTTTGAAGGTGATTGGGAAACTAGAATGAGATTACTGTGTATACAGGGGAATGGAGACATCTCTTTCATTAAACTACTCATAATTTCTGCAGAAGCTTATTTTGTCTGGACATGATCATGATCAGTGCACTATTACTCACCAGCCAAAATTTGGGCCCATAAAGGAGGTAAGGACCATATTTTCTCAGCTCAACATTCTCCCTGATGAAAAACACAGTTAAATTGACAGTATTGTGCAGCACACTCTAGGCACCATAAGTTGGCAACAAGGAAACTTGTATCCTTCTTTCATGCTGCTATCAGTTAGTAACTCGACTCTTCCAAATTCTTCCACTCCGGAAGATTCTTTGTTGACTCACCTATGCTTCCTTCCAATGCAAACACATATATACATAGGGTAATGCTAAACACCAATAATTATGTTTAAACAATTTTACCTTGGCAGTTAAGGCAGCTTTTTGACGAATTGTGTGTTGCTGCAAATGGCAGGTATGCTGTCCTATTTATTCTTACCCTTCTTGCCGCCCTTCTTTGGCCAACAAGTAGCACGAGCTTTTGGCATCAATGTTGGAGCCTAGTGGGCTACAGTAAACAACTAATTTCTAGTGCCCTATTTAGCGGGGATACAAAAGAGAAAGATGAGGATGCAAACTATGAATACGAGATGATGTGGGATGCAGAAGGATCAATGCATCTTGTGAAGAAGCCCTTGAATGCATCTGTTGTAAATTCAACTGAACGGAGTTTAGGGGAAAGGTATGCTTATTATTACTCGGTATATTCTCTTGGAGGCCTAGGCAATCCTATCATTCTTCCTATTTCTGGACCTTGTGTTCTGTAATTCTTGAAACCTCGTCATGTTCTTTTACGTCAGGGGCAATGCTGTGATGCGGCCAACTGCAAGAAAACATGCTTCTCAGGAAGGAGATGTCTCTGTGAATATGGATATGGCTTCAGGCAATGGATTTGATCCTATGGCCAGAATACCTTCTAGAACTGGAAGATCAAAGACAATATTTATAATCCAAAGATTGTTAAGGATGGTCCGAATGATTACAGTTATTGCGGCTGTAAATGTTCCCATCTACGTGATGTTGCTCTACAAGGATTGGATTGACAAATAAAGATGAAGTAAATACTCACTATGTTTTTGCTCAAGGTGGCTCCTAATTTCCTATTAGAGGTATTGTTCAGACTGTGTATCCCTGTTAGAAATTTCAAGTGGGCAATCTTCCATCAACATGATATATTTCATTCCCTGTACGAGGCTTTTTGTATTTTTATCTGGGTAGTTTGAGACATTTTTGTTTTTTCAAGAGGTGAAAGCAGGTAACACATGGGTAACACATATTTAACTTTTTTTGAGCTGAAGTAGAACTTATCTAACTTGTCGATGTCTTTCATGAACTATAAAAAATAAAATAAAAACTTGTCAATGGCAGCGCATAAAGTTGACGGTCTTATATCTTACTTTCATCTGGAGTTCCAATGTTGTTTTTTGCTGATGTTGGGACTTTTTTTTTTTTTGGGTTTTCATGTTGGGCCAACGCAACCTGAACAGGGAGGATTTGACTATCGGTGGGCTCAAACGCCCTTTCTTTTTTGGGGGGTGTTATACTCAAAAACATGCTGTCACCAAATAAATCCCGGAAAAATTTACTAATTTCCTCTTGAAAAATGACTTGATATTTTAACATTCTATCCGGGCGTACATGTGTGTATGTGTTCGGCAATCAAAACTATAAGCCGCATATCACAGCAGAATTTATTTTGATTAAAAATTCTTGAGTTAGTGAATTACATTTTTCAGAAAATTAATTAGAACTACGATTATTCAACGGAAAAAAAAGTATGAACAGAGCTTTTTTTTCAAAACATCTAATCAATTAATCACTAATTAATAATGATTAATTTTTTAAGTGTATATTCGAGCATCCCTATTATTAATAAGGTCTGAGAACAAGTCACCTTTGTTTCATATTGTATTTTTTTAATCAATAATTTAAGAACAAGAATCTAAGAGTTTACTTGTTGCTAGTTTTGAATGTTGTGATTCTTTCGACTCCACGAAGCAAGATGTGCTAGAGTTTGGGTTTTTTTTTTGCCCCTGACAAAAAATGGTTGCATGTAAATTACAAATTCACTTTGTTTTTGGTACTTTATGAAATTTAAAAATTAAATTGTATTTAAAGTTTGTGAATGAGATGGTTTATCATAGATTTCGGGAGTGTTTGGATGGAAACCAAACCATGATCTCAGAAGTGATTTTACGGTTTACGAAGAAAATATATAGAGGAGTTTATCTTGATTTGCGGAAAAGTGTTTCTAAAAAAGAATTTTCAGGATATCCAAACACCCCCTGAATTCATACATATATCATAATAACTTATTTATGCCTTTGTACACATTTCTACATGTGTGCTGGATCCAACGACAATTTATGCAATTCATGAGCAATTTTAAAATTTCAATTCGAAGAATTAAAATGTGCATTATCTAAAAGCGAAGCCAAGGTTTCTATAAAGCAACACAAGGAATTTGACTCTCTCTCTTGGGAACTGTGCACAAGGATTCGTTGCCCACTGCGGCGAATCAACGCCAAGGAAGAGAATCACCTCCGGGGCCCACTGCGGCGGAGGAAGAAAGAGAGTTTCCACATCACCACGACAGGTGGTGGGTGGAGGTAAGCTTGTGAGATGGAGCAAAGTGTGGACGTGACGCTGACCGGGAAAGCAGAAAGGACTCTGAATGAGGATGATAACCGGATGACTAAAAAGGTCAAGATTCGAGACAAAGGTGATACCTTGTCGGACATGGAAACAGAAGAACTGGTGGTCAACCCTGAAGAGGACCACGAGTGGGCCTCACCCAACGATGACTCGCCAAATGCAATGGACGAAGCTACTGAAGAACAAGTAAATGAGAACCCCTCGCGCGCAGAATATCATAGAGAAAACAAATATGCAAGCACACAGACTGAGTTGACTGTGCCATCCTTCAAGGATAAGCTTCTTGGAAATGACACGGCAAGCAGCAGCGCGCATAAACACTCGAAGGAAGAACTGAACCTGGAAGACAGAGATGTAATGGTTGACACGGATGGTCTCATTTCGGCCATCACATTCTCTAACCGAGTGAAGGAGATAATGGCAGACTGTATGAAGTTCGCTGTTATAGTTAAAATACTTGGGCGCTACGTAAGACAGGATCATCTATTCACCAAGATAGTTAACCTATGGCGGCCAACAGGGAATTTCAAGCTCACCGAGCTGGAAGGGGGATGCTACATGGTCAAACTTGAGAATGAATGGGACTACCAGAATGCATTACTGGGAGGACCATGGGTAGTGCTCGGCCATTACTTGACTGTGCACCCTTGGGAACCCTCGGTCTCGCTGCAAAACTTAGAGATTAAGCAGGTCTATGGCTGGGTGAGGCTACCAGGATTACCCTACCATTACTATCATAAAAGTGTTCTGAGAGCAATAGGCGAAGTGATCGGTCAAGTGATAAGGATTGATTACAACACGGAAGGGGTCGATAAAGCCCGATTTGCTTGCCTAGCTGTCAAATTGGATCTAACCAAGCCTTTGGTCTCCAAGATCAAACTAGATGGGACGACTCAACTGGTTGAATATGAGGGTCTCCCGACAATATGCTACCACTGTGGCCGATACGGGCACCTTGAAGTTTCATGTCCCTTGACAACGCAGCAACAGCAAACCCATACACCGTCCAGAGCTGGGCCGGCAGCAGAGCAGACAGCACCGAACACTGGCCAACCGGAGCGTGAGGAGCTGGAGCGTGAAACCTGGATCTTTGGATCCTGGATGAAAGCCCCAACGCGTCCATGGAGAACTGCCCGAGGCGCTAGGAAGGACACTGACAAAAGCAGCCATTTGAGTGATAGCGGCGGCAATAAGTTTGAGGTATTAGCCTCCTTGGAAGATACTAACAATCAGCACGAAGGAAACCCCGAGATGACAGCACGTCAAGAAAAGAGGATGGCTATGCTAGCTGAGCCACAGAGGAAACCTTACGTAGAAGGACACTCAAAGTTAACAGTAAACAAAGCAAAGAAACAAGCAAAGAGTGCAAACTCTACCGTAAATAAGACGCCGAAACTCGCTGCTGACACAATCTTTCACTCTCCTGCCTACCTAGAGACGCGAATCCTGACAAATTTGAAAGCAGGCAACCACTCCGCTGTTGTTCTGACAGACTCACGAAAAGCATTGGACCCTGTGGGACACACAATGGATCGTAAAACTGGATCGTCGCATAAGAAGCCCAGCTCGTACTCTACAGGGGGTAAAGAGAATCTCACACCCAAGCCCCCAGACAAAAGCCCAAGAAAGGGAGGCTTCAAATTACAATCCCCGGTCAAAGTTAGGAATTGGCAGCCTAAATTTAAAGATGCAATTGGAGCCCCCTCAGAAGAGATAACCAAAGCTTTAGCCGACGCTTTGGGGGCCTCCATACCGTCTGATGAAGATTTTAGCTACAAGGAAGCCACAGAGGGAGGCTTCGAAGAAGACTCTGCTTCTGAACGCTCTGAAATGGAGCACTAATTTCACCTTTAATGATTAACTCCTTTTTTGTGTGGAATTGCCAAGGGGCAGCTTCGAGCAAGTTTTATAGAGTACTAAAATCCCTCTTACAAGGGTACAAGCCAGACATTGTTGCTTTGGTTGAACCCCGAATCTCAGGTGCCAATGCGGATCGGGTCATTAGGAGAATTGGCTACCCAAACTCGCACAGAGTAGAGGCAACTGGTTACTCGGGAGGAATTTGGCTATTATGGCGTGCAAGCGTGACCTTACGTGTCTTAATCAACCATAAACAATCCATCCATACCACTATTGAAGAAGCATCAGGGGGAAGTCCCATTCTCTTCACTGCAATATACGACAGTCCCAACCCCTCACTTAGAGAGCAGCTTTGGAGAGACCTCTTGAAGATCCAAGTAAGTGAGGCTGAACCTTGGCTCTTGGCTGGCGATTTTAACGCCACAATCAATGAAGGAGACAGAACCGGGGGTACAAGCTGGAACCGAATGGGCTACCAAAGGTTTAAAAATTTTATACAAGATGCTGGGCTGGTGGATCTGGGTTTCTCAGGCCCAAAATACACATGGCAGCGGGGTAGGCTTATGGTAAGATTGGACAGGGCCCTGGGCAACAGCAAGTGGTTATCGGATCAAGCCAACATGGAGGTACTGCATTTACCGAAGATACAAAGTGACCATAGGCCCCTTTTGATAAAATCTTCAGTGATGAACCGCCAGGATAGACCACCTTTCCGATTCCTTGCATCTTGGCTTCTCCATCCTACTTTTACAGAATGGTCCAGCGGGTTTTGGGCTCAAGAGCATAGCCTGACGGAGAAGCTTCGTAGGTTCACCACTGAAGCCCAAACTTGGAACGCAGAAGTATTCGGCGGCATAGGTCAAAGCAAGCGTGAATTGTGACGGTGCATTATCAACACCCAACGTGCGCTGGAACGGCACCCTTTCTCATAGCACCTCCTAGATCGAGAATGCTCGCTTCTCATAGAGTACGAAAACATATGTCTTAGAGAAGAGGTAATGTGGCTCCAAAAATCTCGCAGTGAATGGATCAATGATGGAGACCGGAATACTAAATATTACCATATCAAAGCAACAATGAGAAGGAGGCAAAACAGAATTTTGCTTCTTAAAGATGAGAACGGCATATGGGAGTCCGACCAATCAAAGTTAAGCTTAATGGCATCAAGCTACTATCGGACCCTCTACTCACTGGAACAGGACCGTCCCTCCCCTTATAAATATACAGGTCTGTTTCCTCCCATCCCTGATCTCTACTCCAACACCCTTGGATGTGCTGTCACCAAGGAGGAAACTAGGAAAGCTCTTTTTGAGATGAACCCATTAAAAGCGCCGGGGGCTGATGGCATACATGCTCTATTCTTTCAATCCCAATGGGAAGTCATCGGTGACTCAGTGTTTAAAGAAGTAAAGGAGGTCTTTGAGGGGAAAATGATCGAACCTGACTTCAACAAAATAATGATTGCTTTGATACCTAAAGTTGATCATCCTCAGACCATACGAGAATTTAGGCCAATAAGTTTGTGCACCACAACTTATAAACTCATAACCAAGATAATTGCTAACCGGCTCAAGACTACAATGCCCCACATCGTCCAGCCGAACGAATCCAGTTTCATAAAGGGGAGGAATATTACTGATAATATCATCATAGCCCAAGAAGTTATTCACTCCATGCAGTGCAAGAAAGGAAGAACCGGTTGGATGGCAATTAAAGTTGATCTAGAAAAAGCTTTTGACCGAATAAGCTGGGAATTCATCAAGGATACTCTTAAAGAAGCAAAGTTGCCTGACTCCCTAATCGTGCTTATTATGAATTGTGTCACGTCAGCTAGTATGCAAGTGATCTGGAATGGCAAGCCTACTATGTCGTTCCTCCCGCAGCGCGGGATTAGACAGGGGGACCCTTTATCACCCTACATCTTTGTACTTTGTATGGAAAGGCTATCATAGGCTATAAGCAAGGAAGTAGAAGCAGGAGCTTGGCACCCCATCCGCATGGGCAGAGGAGGACCGCCTTTGTCCCACCTATTTTTCGCTGACGATCTTATCTTATTCAGCACCACTGAACCAACACAAGTCAGTCTCATCCACCGCATGCTTAGTGAATTCTGTACCTCCTCTGGGCATAAGGTCAGTAACTCTAAAACACGAATCCACTTCTCAAAAAATGTCAATGCCCAGACGGCAAACTCCATCTGTGCACAATTGGGATACCAGAAAACAGCACATCTTGGTCATTATCTGGGAGTCCCTCTCCTACATAGCAGAGTGACAAAAGAAACTTATCGATACATTGAAGAAAGGGTGCAACGCAAACTATCTGGCTGGAAAGTACGCTTCCTGTCCCTAGCAGGGAGAACCGGAGAATCACTTTAGCACACTCTGTCTTATCCGCAATACCACTCTATGCAATGCAAACGACCAGGTTACCAGCGTCCACAAGGAACAAACTTCAAAGCCTAACTCGGAATTTCATATGGGGCTCCAGCGATGACCACAAAGGAATCTCGCTCATGAAATGGAAGGAAGTATGCTTGCCCAAGAAATATGGAGGATGTGGTCTGAGGGACCTGGATCAGCAAAACTCCGCTTTCCTTATCAAGCTCGCTTTTGCTCTCATGTCCAAGCCTGATCTCCTATGGGTGCGTGTCCTCCGCGGCAAATATGGATGGGACCGCAACGGGGATCAACTACTGAAAACCAAGACAGGCTCGCACCTCTGGCGAAGTCTGGCTGCTGTATGGGAAGATGCAATGCTTGGAACACATTGGAGTGCCGGAGATGGGAAGCAAACCCGCTTCTGGAAGGATCACTGGGTGGGCAACCTGGGCCCCCTGAAGCATCTTTCTTTTGCACCCATAGATGACCTGGAATCTCAAAAGACTTTATCACAGTTTGTCACTCAGAACGGTCAATGGGAGACGAACAAGTTTGCTCACAAGCTACCTTCGGACATCATAGCACAGATCACTGCAATGCCTGCTCCCGCAAGCACGGACCAACCAGCACAATGCAGCTGGCACCTAGAAAGGAATGGCAAATTTTCGTTGAAATCAGCATACGGTCTTCTCACCAGAATGATTAGAAGAGGAGAACAGCAAGTGGCATTTGATTTGGAGGTGGCCGGGTCCACAAAGAATTCGAACATTTCTCTGGCTGGCCTTGAGTAGCAAATTGCTCACGAATAGCGAGAGAAGACGGAGACACATGATAGATAACGAAGGTTGCCAGATCTGCGGCCATAGTAAGGAAGATGTAAACCATGTCCTCCGAGAGTGTACACTAGCCTCCAACTGCTGGAATCTACTTATCCCGCCTACAGCTCAAACTCGGTTCTATTCGGCCAATTTTACAGATTGGGCGTATGGGAATTTAGGAAGTGGAAACAGCAATCCCCAATGGTGCATCACGTTTGGCACCCTTTGCTGGAAACTGTGGAATGCTAGGAATCACATGTGTGTATGTGTTCGGCAATCAAAAACTATAAGCCGCATATCACAACAGAATTTATTTTGATTAAAAATTCTTGAGTTGATGAATTACATTTTTCAGAAAATTAATTAGAGCTACAATTATTCAACGGAAAAAAAAGTATGAACAGAGCTCTTTTTTTTTTTCAAAACATCTAATCAATTAAGCACTAATTAATAATGATTAATTTTTTAAGTGTATATTCGAGCATCCCTATTATTAATAAAGTCTGAGAACAAGTCATCGTTATTTCATATTGTATTTTTTTTAATCAAAGTCTTGAAAATAAATTAATAATTTAAGAACAAGAATCTAAGACTTTACTTGTTGCTAGTTTTGAACGTTGTGATTCTTTCGACTCCATGAAGCAAGATGTGCTAGAGTTTGGGGTTTTTTTTTTTTTTCCCCCCTGACGAACAAATGGTTGCATATAAAATTACAAATTCACTTTGTTTTTGGTACTTTACGAAATTTAAAAATTAAATTGTATTTAAAGTTTGTGAATGAGATGGCTTATCATAGATTTCATTAATACTACCTCCGATCTTTAATATAAGATCCCGTTTGACTTTTATTTTGGTTCTAAATATAAAACCTCAATCCATTTTGTCTCTCATATTTATACATTTTTTTCCAAAGTAATCCTCCTAACAATGATAGTTCTAGTCAACACACTTGATTAGTAAAGATATTTTAGTAAAAACAATATCTATTTAGGACAAATAACTAACTCAACTTATTTTTTTAATCTTTTCAAATTAGTCAACTGGCTTTTATAATTAGGACCGGAAGTAGTATATCATAATAACTTATTTATGCCTTTGTACACATTTCTACATGTGTGCTGGATCCACGACAATTTATGTAATTCATGAGCAATTTTAAAATTTCAATTCGAAGAATTAAAATGTGCATTATCTAAAAGTGAAGCTAAGGTTTCTATAAAGCAGCACAAACAAGCATTTAAGTACATGAGATCGCTGCAATTTCCTCACACCGTCATAAGATGCAAAATAGTAAATTATATATTTTTCTGGAATCAATTATTATCGCTTATATGGGAAAAATGTCCGCATGAAGTTTCGCTGAATTTGCATTTTGCCAACCCAAAAAGGTGAAGACGCGTACGATCGGTGATCGGTTCTCCAGCTATTTGAAGTTGAAGCTTAAAATTGGCAACAACAAGTTTAAGTACAAGAAAATTGCCATTGCTATGGGATGTGAAGGACTAAACTGCTATTATTTAAACATCTCAAGATTGTACAGTTAATTGCTTCCATTGCCCTTCATGCATGCTCCGTAGTATACGTCGTGCTTGAATCTTGATGCCCAGATTGTGAAAAAGCGGTGCCTCAGGGTGCCCGTGCTACAAAATCTGTCCTTCCTTCTCCATCAGAAACCCTAATGGGTCAAACATGGGGAAAAAATGGGGAAGGAGAACAAAATGCCTCGGAGATAGAACCCCCATCGAAACCATACCATCTGGGCCATCAGAAACATCTTTGTTCAACGATGTACAGAAGAAGAGGAAGAGGAAGAGGAATAAAGTACTTGCATCTTGATAGAAGAAGCTGAAATTAAGAGGGTGTTCAAACTTCTCAGTCGTCTCCTTGAATATACCAACAGAGCAGCATGGTGGCACATCGGCGTAAAATATAGAGACGAGCTCGCTGCTCCTTCACTAATGAAGCACACTTGCTGCTAAATCCATACTCCTTCTTCTTCGCCGGTACCTTCGCTCCTTGGTTGTGGTATTTCATTTCAGCCATAGGTTCTGATTTCTTAGCCTTCTCCTTTCCAGAGAAAACCCCAAGAAAAGGAAGGAAAAAAAACTCCCAAACAGAGCTTGAGGAGTGATGAGGAACCCTGGTTATAACTTATATATAAACATAGCCGTATATAATTTATATGTACAAGAGGCCACAACTTATGGTTGGGTGAATGGAGTGAAAGGGAAGGGAACGTGGGAAGGCTCGAAAACTGAGGGATTTGCAGGCTTCAGGGGTATAGAATTTGATGAAGGCAAGGCGGAATGAACGTGGGTCTTGAACTTGTTTATGTGAAAGCAATAAAAAATGCACGAGTTTGTGATTACCAATGTAAGTTGAGCTTGTTGGAGTGCGAAAACGAGGGAAGGGTTAATTAAAGAAGTGGCAAAGGTGAGCATGAAAAGGGGGAACTGCTGTAATCCAGACAAGGCACAGAGTGTTTAGCCATGGGAACAAGGACCCGGCACACTTAGGTGGATTCATGGGTTCGATTGGATTCTGCCTTTGCCTTATGTTCCAAAGCCCAACATTATCTTCTGTTTTTGTGGTAACTTGTTTGCTGATAAATTTATTTTCTATTAATGACAGTTTGATAACTCAAGATATGCCCTAGATTATAATGCCTATATACATATATTA